AGCAGGAAGGACAGTAAGTGCCAGTCACAGTCTACGGAGGGTGGGGTGGAGGGATATATAGGGGGCTCACCTGGGGGAGCCTGCTCAGCAGGCTGAGGGAAATGGCTCCTGATCCACAGCCCACCTCCAGGATGAGGGGGCCACCTTGAGCTCCCACCACACGGGGCCCTTGGGTCACCTCCTCCAGCACCCATTCAACCAGCTCCTGCAAGGGAGATAGATCCTGATCACAGTTGGTGCTGACCTGACTCCTGTGGGTCTTGGCACAGAGGCCCAAGCATAGTTAGCCCCTGGGTGAATGTAGAAGGGGGATAGTTAAAGCCAGACTGAACTTCGTTGTCAGCTGCGGCCATGGGCAGGTCACACTGCCTCTCCATGCCTCTGCTTCCCCATCTGCAAACTTGAGCACAGTTGAGAATAACCTACCTCATTGGGAGCAGGTGGAGATTTAACAGAAGCACGTTCATGAAGCACTGATCTCATGCCTGGCACGTGGTAAGTGTTCAGTAAGCCTCAGCTAATCCTTTTACAGAAATCCTCTTGTTTTGTGCTTACAGCAATGTTAAGAATCATACTTAATGGTCCCTGGCCAACCCCTCTGTGCCTGGCCCTGCTTCCGGAGGTTTCCCTGTTGGACCCTCATGAGGAAAGTGAGGTCCAGGGGTCAAGGCCCCGCTGGGAACCTGGCCTGCAGCTCATGGTGGCCAAGAATCAGGGGCCAGTGTGTCCCCAGCTTCCTCACAGCCCCCCCAGAGAGGCTCCCAGGTCAAAGGGACAGGAAATTCCCTCCATGGAGGGGCAGGGGGATGACAGCCCTACCTGAGCCCCATATCTGAAGGGGGCTGTGGCACACACAGGGCATGGGGTAAGTGGGCATGGCATGGGAAGAGGTGCCTAACTGCACTGTGCCTGCCTTGGTGGCAGGGGGACACTTTCAGACACTGTCACTTTAGAAACAACAGAGTTTCAAGTCTCACCCACCCATCTGTCACCTGAAGACTGTGCATGGAAGCCAATATAGGGTGAGGGTAGAGGGCCGCTGCTGTGCATTGGTGAAAATGTTTCTAAACAGCAGTAGAGTGGGGGCCCAAGTAGCCAGGCATGGAGCAGGGAAAGGGCACTGTGTCCCTTCTCAAAGGGACCTGCCCTTTGGAAGAGGGCAGGAAAGGCCCCCCTAGAGGCTGAGGATTCCTGGGGTTCCAGGCAGGGCTGGCTCAGGGAATGAGGGGAGGAGTCAGGAAGTAGGTGTTTCCTTCATCTGAAAGAGATCTACTTCCTCCAGGCTCTCTCTACCATGACCCTCCTCACTGTGGGCCTAAGGTCTAGGATGGGGTGTGCTTCTCCCACCAAACTGAATGCTCCATGACGTGAAGACCAGGAATCTAACCCGTCATGGCGTGTCCCACACGGGCAGGGCTTGGCCCACAGAGAGGCCTCTTGGCTACTTCCCAAGCGCTGGGCAAGCTCTCAGTGGCCACAGGAAGCTACCCTGAGCCTCAGACCCGCAGCTTCCCCCAAGCCCCAGTGTCAACAGTTAGGCCCCGATAGAGCAGAGGGCTCCAGATCACGCAGACTCATTTTGCGCATAAGCTGCTCAGTGCTGAGTCCCCAAAAGTATTTCATCCTTCATCCCAACCTGGGAGCAAAGTTCACCTGTCCCCAGGGTAGCAAGTCCAAGGCAGGTGGAACTTGGCCAGTGGGTCCAACCTTTTCTGTTCCAAGCCCCTTCTGCACCAAACAAGCTACTGCCTATGAGTGAGACAGTCCCTCTCCAGCCAGAGAGGGCTTCCCCTCACTCCTTCCCACCAGCCCTGTACCAGGCACCACTGGAGAACTGGAGTGCTGGCAGCAAGCTGCGCCCACAGCATTGGGACCAGCACAGAGCCAACAGTCTAGGGCTGTGGCTTGGAGCCTGCGGTCACAGTGGCGAGGCCACATACCAAGTGGCCAGCTGGACAGCTGAAACTTGTCAGGGGCATGAACTTCTCTTGGTTTCCTGACCACAGACAGACCTACCCTGGCTGGAGAATGACCCCTTAGTCAACCACACTGGCCAGCCACCTCAGAGAGACATCCTGACATCAGAGACACACACCACATGTGTGAATGGCTACCCTGGGCAGGGCATGAAGATGAGAGACTGGGCCCCCACTGCCACCAGTGCCCCTTGGCCTCTCCCTTACCCTCCAGATCCGGGGAAGGTTATCTTGGCTGTAGGACCACTTCGGGTTTTGCGGGGCCGGGGGGGCGGG